AAAACTATATATAAATATCATACACTTTGATCTGCTTGTCGCATATTTCGCACCTGATTAATATTAAATTTTATTTGGCCTTTTTTTTCGCTCGCTGATTATTTTGATTATTATTTTCCATGCATCGTCGCACATAATTCACAGGCCATAAAAAATGTGTAAAGGCGACGAAAAACGCGAAGGCCACTAAAGAAAAAAAGATCTAGGAAAATTTATGATGGAAAATATAGTTTTTTATTTTTACCTGTCGGACATTAAAATCACTTCGTGGCCCATTGAAGCGCGTGCGAGTGATAAAAAAAGAGATATGATGGAAAATTATAAGAATATTTAGTCGAAAAAGTTAAGCAGGGGTTTCTTCAAGATTTTGTTTATATAAATAATAAGATTAATAAGAATTAAGATTTAGCAGATTTATATTAAAAGGGGACCTAAAGCTTAGATATTAAGAAACTGTAAAATTATATATTTCACATATTATAAATTCCTTAAATAATTTATTAAAAATTAAAAACTGCTTAAATATAATACATTTCCGCTATGTCTATCAATATAATATTTTCCAGATGCTTTTTATAAAAGGAAATAGTAATAGATACACGTAATCATCACACAGATACATCACATGGTCCTCAGATACACGTAATTCTCCGACGTTTTCGGATTTTATGGAACTGCGGAAAATTGTTTGGCGCAGCGTTGACATCTTATTACAGCCAATAACGATATAAGCCTGGCAATTAAGTCGGCTGCAGCTGACGCCGCCCCCACAGAACCCCAAGTTGGTGAGGCTGACGAAGCAGCAGCAGATGCCTGGATATATCCGCAAGATACATTTCATTCTGGGCGGTCGCATGTGCAAATGTGCCACTCCAGCTGTGTGTGTGTGTGTGTGGAAGCGTGTGTCTCTGCTTGTTTGTAATTAGTGGCAAGTTTTTGTCTCCGTTCTTGAATTTTGGCCTGTGCGCCGCCTGGCATCCAGATATGCAAGCAAAAGATGAGCTACAAATTTCTCAAATGTCAACACCAAGAGACTGGTACACACTCATATCTGACAGATACTTTCGCCGCTTGAGTGTGTGTGTTGTTCTGCTGGTGTTTTTGCATCTGGCTCCAAATGAAATGTACATTTTTCATAGCCTCATTGCATTTGTTAATGCAGACTTGTCATTTATTAATTGTCAAGTTTTCCCTGCCTGATATTGATGAAGACTTCAGTAGATCAATCAGCAGACAGTTCATTTGCTGGCAACAGTTAGCCCATATAATATATATAGTATTTTACCCGATTATCTTGAGGATCTTTTCTTGGGCACTTCATTAGCCGGTTGACAGCTGCTAATGAACCTTTCAAAAGCACAACCTCCTTTTGCGGCAAGTTCATTGAACGATTCAGAAGCAGGCGGCAGCGTGCACGAAATTGCGAAACTAATTTACAATGGCATTACTTTCGTCTAAATGGGTTAGGGAATCCGGAGTTGTGGTTTAATTGCTACCCTTTAAGGGATAATTTCTTTATTTTTTATAGGGTGGAATGTATTTTTAAAGGGTTTTAGGGGTTTACTTTGATGGTTAATAGGTTTGAAATTACATTTATAGAATTAGGAATACGTTTACTAAGAAAGAGTTGGTTAACATCTTCGTTACTCTATGTATTTACTTGATTATTATAATAATAATTTATGTAATTATATCCACGATAAGCTAATGTCTTGATATATATATATTTTCCTATAACATTCATACCCCTCTTCCTAGTCATAATCCTTGGGTATCGCTATTTCTTAGCCCTGGCAGGAGCAACTTAAATTGCAGCGATAAGCTTTAAACTGCGAGCACTTCCGGAACAATGCCCGGACGGACACGGACGACGCCTTGGATATAAATATATATCCCATACAAAGTATATAGCACATGTAGTTAGTGTGTCCAGCCTGGAAAGTGTTGGCAAGGATATGCTTAAACATGCAACTTTTCAATATGCAGACAAAGACAGACACAAGCACAACATGCATGCCTGCCTGCCTGCCTGCTTGCCTGCCCAGAATCGCAGGATTGCAGGACGAGCTACTACTGGGAGGTGGAAATTTTCACTGGCGCAACGTGAAATGCAATTGGGGCCATCATCCAGACACCCCGCTCCCAGCTCAACCCCCCCGCTTTCGCCATGGCATTCGATGAAATTGCCCGATTGTGTTGAAGTGTGATGTAGGCTTCGTTTGTTGTTGGCCAGGCCAAGGGGCCTTTGGCACATTTCTGTGTCGTGAAATTAATTTCTCCACACTCTCTGCTCTCTTGTTAAAAACTGCACTCGGTCGGGCTCTTTATTTAATATACAAAAGTGTGTATGTGCACTCAAATTACCATAATTAAACAGGCCTCGCCTGAGGCCTAATAATACCGGCTAGTTTGCACAGCACTTTGGTGGCTTTCTAAAACTCATTTTTGGATTTTAAGAAGTACTTAAACCAGTACTGTAGCCCGTAATTAAAATGTATATTATTTTAGGGTATTTTGTGATTGGGCTAATTATGAACCTTAAAAATAGCTTAAAAAGTAATTAGAGTGCTTAAGAATATTGTAATAAATCTGTTTATATTTCCTATAAGAAAACTTGAATATGTACCTTTTGTTTTCTAGATTTTTTAGAACTTCTCTTTTCTCTAAAATTCTCATCCAATAACAATCATTTATCATCTCATAGCCACTCTGTGGTATATACCACTCAGAAATGAAAACGCCACAAAAAGTTGCCAAATCATGGAGCTAAATGTACACTGGGTATCTTCATTTGACATGCTGACGTTTATAGCGTTGTTTTTCTTTTTTTGTTCCATGTTGGCTCTTTGATAAATTGAATAAATTTTATGGTATAATTAACTCATGTTCATGGCTAATGTGTACGGGCCCCGCCCTCGTCATTAAATGTGTAGTTGTCATTGCATCAAAACACCTAAGTGGATCACGATATTTTAGCCATGAACAAGAAAGATAATTATTGTTTTTAAATATATATTTTTCAAAAGAAATCAAGGTACTAGAGCTACTGCAAATAAATCCAATTTATCTGCCAGAAGAAACCGCTGTACAAAAATAATTTAGATAAAAGGTAAACATAATTTTTGATAAGGCCACCACAGGAATTTATATGCTCGCACCTAACTGCAAATTGTGTGTAATGAGCTAAGCGGGGTCCACCTTTACCTTTACCTTTTTTTCTCTGTGTTTTCCGATGTGTTTCTCCCTTGACTTTCACCCTCGCCCTGAGTAGCACCTTTCATGCTGTCTAAGCCCGAAGAAGACATAAATTTGTTAGCGCCTGCCGTCGCCTGGTCAAGATCCCAGGACTCATCCTAATTTTTTTGGGGGTGTTTTGTAGCTCCTGTCCCGTGCCCCGAAAAAGAAACACAAAAAAATTAGTCAGCCTGCCAGATCGGTCGCTTGAGATAAGTCTCCTTCATATTTATGTTGGAAATTAGGCAAATTTTTAGTGGCGAGATAATTTGTGTACGACTTTGTCGCAGTGAGTGAGAAAATTTAAGGTATCTTCATGGACAAACCCGAAGTGCTTAGCCTTTTCTGTGTTTATAATGGGAATACACAATTTTTAACGCTTTGCCAAGGAAGATAACAACGTTTTTATGTCTCAAAGCAGGAATATATTAGAGAAACGAAAGGTGGTAGATTTTTTAAAAATTCTTTTTAACTTAAAAACAAAATTCCCTTCCCCAAAACCAAAACCTTTCCCAAAATCACTCTTTAATTATTTTCTCTTCCCTATAATTAACCCATCGAACTGCCAGTTTCTGTGTTACCAATACAAAAAACTCGTTAAACTTGTAATTATTGTTGGGAAAAACGTTGATATATTTATTTTTCATAACAATATGACACTTTCTCACAGTTTTCCTAAACGCCCAGCCACCTGGTATGTGAACTCCGTTAATTAAGACATTTGGAAAGTGGCCGAGAGAAGAAATTAACTTGGCTCGTTGGCTCAAAAACGATTTTTTAATTGTAAGCTACAAAGTGTATAATTATTGGTTAGTTATCGGTTAGGTAAAAAGGCCTCAGCTCTCTGGGTTTATGTAAGCCATATTTAAATGTTGCCGCCCGCCCGAGTCAAAGCTTAGCTTCTGACCCTCTTTTTTACCGAGGCCCATTTGAATTTTTGAACGTGGCCTATGGGCCTCAAAATTAAGTTATTAAATATTGTATCTATGTGATTGGCTTGCTTGTGTTTGTGTGTGGTATATCACCTATGGGTGATTAGCGACGATTGAGAGATTGATTTTTGGTAGAGGGGATTGTCAACGAGAAGAAAGCATGAATCCCCTGTTGATGCTGATCAAGAATATATAGGTATGTGTTGTTTTTGAGGTCGGAAATTACTGCTTCACTTTATTCCCATTAAGTTTATTAAATAATTCATTCTAGAGTTTAGCTTCACTCAAATTCCCATTCACAACTTTACCTTTATCTCTTTGCCATGTGAAACGGTTTTTTTTTTTTGTTTTGTTTTTGTATTAATAAACAACACTTTATAATGTTAATGGCCGTGTAAGAGCGGGGCAACTGAAATTAACAACAAACGTCCATGGAGCAGACATACATCATTAGAAATTGATGACGCATGTCGCGTGCAACTTCAGCAGCATGCAACCCTTTCGACAGCAGCGGCAGCAGCTAAAACATGGACTAGTAATTAATTAGACGTTCGTAAAGAGCACAAAATTCTATAAATTATATTTCATTGCCCTCTGCTCAAATGTCAGTGTGGCCATGCGCGACTGCGCATCACGTGCTGCCGCTGCTGCTGCTGCAGGTTGCAACTGCAACTGCCATTGCAGCAAGCCCAGACTTTATTCCCGACTTTATTAATCGTTGGCCATATTTTTTTGAAAAAAAAAAAACAAACATTTATTGTCCAGCGCCATTGCATGTTGGCGCAAAAAAAACAACACTAGTATTAATAAAGTTCAAACAAATAAATTGCACGCTTTGTGTTATAAATTGTTTATTCAGTTTCGCTCCTTCTCTGTTTTATCTTTCATTTATTTAATTTTTTGCACATGATTTAAATAAGTGTTTATAGTAATTGTTTTTTTGCATTGGTTTACGGGGGAGTGTCTAAGGGGGATTTAATTCAGCGTGGAATTCTCACAATAATTTGCAGTTTTAGGAACACACATTTGGGTGGGGGGAGGCTAAAGACAACGAAACACAAAATACACAGCAAAAGTTTTTTGTGAATAGTTTTGCATATATTATTGCCTAGGCCTAATTAAATTAACTAATACTGTTATAATGCTACGAGAAATTACAATACAGTGAAACCGGTGGATACGGTTTTCTATCCTTAGCATCACATGCAACATCGAATGTGTATCTTTGGATGTTATTTACAGGGGATAATGGATATTACTTTCATATTTTTTTCAACAACATTGCACATACATTTCGCTTGGTACACCAATGTGGTCAATGAATCCTTGGAATTTAAATATTTAAATTATTTAAAATTAAATAAATCAATTTTCTATGTTAGTAAATTCTTTAAAAATCAAAACTTGGCATTGAACTATCTTTTTAAAAGATGAGAAAATTAAATAAAATTTCTTTTTAACTATCAAAGTTTCAAGAACCACATTGGCTTATCCTTGGGGTGGGGTTAGGGATTTAGTGGTAGTTTTTTTGGGTGGTTTAGTTATCAATTTCTTTTCTAAGGACTCTCTGCCCGATTTGAGGCTGGTGGCGAGGCCTGATGCTGCGGCACCTGATACGGACTAAAGCGCTGCGGATAGTGACCCAGCTGCGGCCTAATTCTCAGATCCGGCGATGCCGAGCCGCACGAGGATGTGGGCGTGGCTGGTGCCGGTGGCGCCACTGCCGCCGGTGGTGGAGGTGGTGTCCTATTGGCCTGACCCGCCGCCGCCAAGGCCAAGGCCGCCTGTTGATTGGCACTAGCCAAAAATCCAGCCGTCAGCTGTGGCCACTGTTGCTGCCACATTCCCAGCTGAAAGGCGCTCAGGTGGGGAGCGGGTGGTGGAGGTGGTGGCGCTGCCGATCGCTGATATAAATGTGGTAGTAACATCTCCGTGTACGGCGATCGGCCAAACATTTGCAAATGCTGGCGGGCCTTCTCCAGGAGGGCCAAGGAGGCGGCATCTGCCTCCTGGGGCGTCAGTTGGGCCATCAGGGGATCGGGGAAAAAGCGCAGGGGAGCTGCTCGCATATGCTGGTCGAAAAAGAATGCATCCATGGGATCTCTGGAATACGAAAATGAGTAAAATATTCAGTTTGTAGAAAGTGAAGCTCTTTTGTAAAGCATTTAAACATAGCAGAAAGCCTTAAATTAAATTTTAAATATAAATAATTTATTAATGTACTTCCAAAACATTTTAAAATATTTTAATATGTTGCTTTTTTATTGTTCTTTTAGTTAAATATTAAATTTTAAAATAAGAAGCTCTTCTACAAATATTTCCCTTTGTTCCTGCAACATTTCCTGGCTTTGGCAACATGTTGTCTGCAAAGCAGCTTCGGCAACATGTTCCCCTGACTCCCGACAGGATCAGGCCGCGGGCTACCCTTTTTTTTTAGTTTTTTTTTTTTTTAGGGCTGCTGCTGCTGCCCTTTTTTCGACAGCGACTTCAAAGTATTGCAGCGACTATTAAGACAGCAAATGCTCAGCCGCCAGCAACAGCAACACGAGCAACATAGCAGCAGCAGCAACATCAGCCGCAGCAGCAGCAGCAACTCAAAGAGCAATGTTGCTGTTGTAGCCGGCACGGCGGCGGCTTAAGTGGCGTAAATTACAGATCGGCGCTTTTAACTTTGATGCCGATTCGTACATGAAATGAAAACACGAAAATAATGAGTGAATGTGTGGCTCTTGTTGCTGTTTGTTGTTGTTGCTGCTGCTGCTGCTGTTGTTGTAGTTGTTGTTGTTCCTGTTGTTTAGTGTCGGCAATTGGCAGTTACTTTCAACGTAATTATGTTATTGCCCCGACTGAAGTGGCGGCAGCCAACAAGTTGCTCATCGGGTTCTGGCCAAACTCCAAGCAGCCAAGCCAAGTTCTTTAACTTTTTCCAGGCTTAATTGAGTGGCAATAGCTTTCAGAGATCGAATGTGGATCAAATGTGTGGAGATAAATAACTTTAATCTAATGTTCATGATAATTACTAAGGTTTTTAAGTTTGAATAAACTTTTAATAAGTTATTTTTTAAGGAACTATAGCTTCTTTTTATGTCAGAATCGACTTATATTCCTCTTGATCCCTTCACTCAGCCTCCTGGCACGTTACCCGCTAATTAAAGTTGCTGCCAGGAATGGCATCCAACCGAACACTTTCACACATTTTCGCTAATCAGCACTCTGAGAGCCTCTGATTCTGGCTACCGAATCGCATTTACGACTCAAGCAGGGGCACCATAAATTAGGCCATAAATCAGACATGACCCCATAAACAGTGAAAACGGGAGCAACTACCTCTATAGGAGCCCGGCAGAGATCAGTAAATGGGGCAACAACTTACCTATCAAAGTCGGTGAGACGCGACGAATCGCGAAATCCCTTCGCAAACGGATTCGAATCGATTTTCAGTTTCGTAATCAATTGATTCTGATAGGCCGTCACGGCCGTGAACACGGTCTCCGGGAAAACGAAGGTTTTATGGTCCATATCCTGCAGCTCCTTGGGATTGCCGGGTATGCTCTGTCCATGGCTCAGCCGCACCAAGTGGATCCGGGGCTGGTAGCGATGCATTGAGTTCAGCACGACCTGCAAGTCGAGAGAGAGAGAGGAGAAAAACTTGAAGTGGAAATTCCCCGAATGCGAATCGTTTGTTGTGGCCCGGCCTTATAAAAAATGTACGCCCATAAAAAAGTAGTCGACGGTTGTTTTGACTGTCCTCGCATCCATATATCCATCCACATCCTTTATGGCAGTGATAAAAAAAAATATATATATACGGTAGCCAACAAGATCTTGCTGCTTGCCACCAAATTGCCAACAATTTTCATTCATTTTTGTGCGCGTCGAGCCCAATGCCATTTGCATATATGTGCATTCCTTTGGCAACTCGGGCTGAACCCGTTTGAACCCACTGAATCCTGAGTCCTCGCCAAGTGCAAGACAATGCCGCCAGTTTATGTGTTTGTCTCTCAGCCTAAAATATTCATAACCAACTTCTGAGATGGTTTAAAAACATAAATTGGCACAAAAACCTGGAGGTTTTGGTGGAAAATAAGAATGAAAACAAGTCATTTTGGGTTGGATGTTTCTCTTAAACTTATTTTGGGTAATTATTAAAAGTTTTTAAAATATTTTCTGCTACATTTGAGTTTTAAATTGACGTATAATACTTTAATAAACTTGGAATGGCCTCTCGCTTATATATTTCCCACCTAGATTTTCCTGCTCTAGCCATATTTTTCTTCCACTTGACTCACCTGTCCGCTCTTGTCCATCTCGTTGTTTGTCAACTTCACCTTCTCGAAGGACACGACCTGTTTGCGCAACGCCTCTGGACTGATGGGGCTATCCGGATGGGCATAGATGCGGGCGGGTGGCGGTGGATCCGCTTTTCCAGCCACCAGCCACGAGCTGCGATGGTAGGCATAGCGGTAACGTCGCGAATCCAGTGGCACAATGTCCAGAAGAACGGCATACCGGTCGGGAGGTTGAATCTGCCTCAGAGGACCTGAGAAACTCACGCGAACGGTGGGAAACATGCGTCTAAAATTAGAAAGAAATTTAAAAGAAAATGTTTATTATTTAATAAAAATATTAAATATTTTAAAACTATTTAAAATATAAAAAAGAATTTGTGCCAAGAAATTTCAACTACTACAAGTTCTTGCCTATGAAACCCCTTAAAATAGTTTACTTAATTATTAATAATAATAGTTTTTTTTATTAAAATTAATATTTACATTAAAATAATCCTCAGATCGAGGCCTTATATTATATACTTGTTTCCTATATACTCAGAACACGTCGAATTAATACCTCAACTTGCCACAGAAACTCACACAAAAACGTAGAAATATCGTGAACTATTTTTTTTATTGACCGCCATTGTGTTGCGGTAGCAAAAAAAAAACAAGAAAATAAAAAAGGTAAAGAGGTGGTGAGGTGGCAGAGTATGTAAATAAGACGCATATTTAATTTTATGACTTTTAGCACGTTTTTGACACATTTCCGCAAGCTATGTCGTCGTCCTGAACGCAGGACATTCACTCAGCGGGCGGTCTAAGGGGTGTGTGCCTTCCGCCTCCTCCCATTCCGTTTCCACCCATAAAATAAAAAAGAAAACTCCTTTTCGTTTCTGTGGCCGCAGGTAAGTGTAAATGACGCTAATGACCCAGCCCCAGTCCCAGCTTTTTTTTTGTCATTTGTCTTAAGCGACGGTCTACTGTGTATCATAACCAACTCCGTGTTGTTGTGTTTGGGTTAATTATAATTGATTTGCTTTCAGTTGCTTTGGCAAATTAATTGTGCAACATTTGTTAAGGCAAATGTTATTATTAAGGGAGAACTTTAACCTTTTAGGAGGGACTACTAATGTAAATAATTCTTTTTAAAAATCCCTAGAACATAGTATGCTGTTTTTAAACAAAATTATAAGTTTCTAAGCTAAAGTAGGCCTTGAAACACCCAGCTGGTCTACAATCAATTCCCAAAGATCAGTTCAACTCAACGCTTTGAACAAATAACAACTAGCTACAAAACTTTCCAATCTTTCTAAAAGTTATCTAAAATATAATTACATATTTATAATAACTCTAATAACATTCTGAGGTGAGTTTGGCATTACCCATTTTAAAATGTTAATTTCTGGTATATATGGTACATACATTTCTCACAAATCTTTTGTTTCCTTAGCTTCTTAACAACATAAGTTATCCGAACATTTGGTAAAGAGCAAGACTAAGACGTCGGAGATCCAAAAACTTAAGGCCCTTAATGTATGGGGCTGTCAGCTATCCGATATAACCCTAATCCTTCAGATGCCATTACTAGAAGTTTTGGTTTTGGGACATAATGAGATCAGCTCGCTGAAATCGCTAAAGAATTGCGTTCATCTCAATCATCTTTCTTTAAGAAAGAACCGAATAGCAGACCTCCAAGAACTTCAGCATCTTAAGGATGCCAAATCTCTGAACTCTCTTATCCTTGCTGAAAATCCCTGTTCGGTAGCAGCTGGCGGTAACTATAGATCCAGCGTACTGCGCATTCTGCCGCAGCTCAAGACGCTGGACGAACAACGCGTAACCCACAAGGAGCGGCGGCTACTCTCTTCAGAGCCGGAAGTTATCCTTCCCGATCAGACTAGTGTGGATCAGGTAACTGTTCCCCAGCCTCTTCCAACCAGGACGTATGCTAAAGCCTAGCCCCTTACTTCCAGGGGCACTTTTGGAGGAGGTCGGCGAGATTCTGGCAAGGATACCGTGCCATCGTGGTGCCGCGGTGGTGCCTAGAGTGGCTGTTCAGGGAGTGCTTGGCTCCTTCGGAACGAAAACCCGGAAATAACAGAAGCACCACCCCCAGAGACAAGGCCATTGCCTCGGCATCGGCCTGCGTTGATGCCATCACCTTCCGCCGGGAGCAAGAGCTCAAGGACGATATATCCCAATATTATCAAGTTGGCCCCGAGCTGCAGTGTAGGGACAGGAACGCTCGCCTATTAATGGGAACCCTGGCCCTGGTCAGAGAAATGGATGCCTCCACTCTGGAGGTACTTTGCCGCGCCATTCAAGATAGAGTGAAGCTGCCCACTTAGAAGGAAAAGCCTCAGAAACACAGAACCTACTTTTATACGCAGTATAACTTACTCCAAATTACAATTTTGAGTTTAGAAAACATTTTCCAAAACAGGAAAAAAGTATTTTCATGTTTTGGAAAATGTTTTTTGAACTTAAAATTGTGAACATAATTGTATGTTTCGGCGCTCAAACCAAAAACAAATTTAATATGTAATATCTTAATTTGAAGTAACACGAATATACATTTTGTAGCTAAGCTGGTTTAATTGAAGATTTACTTTCTAGTTCCATTTGCACCTTTCTAGCCCACTTGAATTACGAGTCTTGTTTGTTCGAGTTATGTTTACAGCCCATTATTGTTGTGCTGGGGGAGTGTCACCACGATTGTTTTAGCCAACATCTGGGCCCTGACTGTTATGGCCGAGTTATGCTATTTATTGCAGTCAGTCACAGCCGCAATCAGAGACCAAAACGAATCCACCTGTAATTGTAATTGTAATTGTAATTTGTGCTGTAAGCCTTTTCAGCTGAACTTTTACGAGTTGCATGCCGCAATTAGCACCATTGTAGCGGGCATTTAACGTGTTCCGCTTATCTCGATATCTGCACGGATAACTGACTAGCTCACCGCGGTCTATGGATACACATATATATTCTCTGGACTCTGCACTCTACAGTAGCTGCACTCGAGCCTGAAAGACCACCTTAACTTGGGTCTCAAAACGGAAGCCAACAAACCGGAAGCTACCATTTTGTTTTTAACTCGCGAAATGTAACGAAACTAAGTTCAAGGAGGTGTAAATAATAAGGGAAAGGGAACACTTCGCTCTAAAAAAAATAATGGGGAAATGCACAAGTATATATAAAGAATAACAAGAAAGAAAGCTAACTTTGGCCAGCCCTTGCAGGTAACAATTAAAATATATAATAACTAAGCCAAAAATGCATTAATTTCGATTCGGAAAGCAGTTTTCTGTTAGTTTTTATTAATTTAAAAAAACTGCATACCAAATTTAAAATTTTAAGAAATCAAAATTTTTGGCAATTTTTGCTAATTTTAATGATGTTACCCCTTATCAAATTTCGCAAAAATGGCAAAAAAATCGATTTCTTCTGGACATGTCTAGAAAGATTCGCATGTTAATGCTGATCAAGAATATATATGGTTTATGGGGTCGGAAATGATTCCTTGACTTAGAAAAATATTATTTTGTATTATAAAATCGGATTTTTTATATTAAAAAACTTCTTGATTTTTTTTAAATTAAAAATATCATAACTCGGCCAAAAGAGCATTAATTTTAAATCGGAAAACTATTCTGTGCAAGATTTTCTACAGTTAATAAATCTGCAAACTTCATTTAAAAATTTTGAAAATTCAATTTTTTATCAAAATCAAAAATTTTAACGATGTAACCCCTTATAAAATTATACAAAAATGGCCAAAAAATCGATTTCTTCCGGACATGTCTAGAAAGATTCCCCTGCTGATCAAGAATAAATGTACTTTATAGGGTCGGAAACGTCTCCTTGACTGCGTTGCAAACTTGTGACTGAAATTATAATACCCTGCAAGGGTATAAAAATTAAATAACCTCTTTGTTTTCATATACACATTTCACAACGTTTAAAAATTACGTTTATTATCGATATTTTCTTTAACTCATACTTTTTTTTCGATTACTTTCTCGTGTTTCCTATTTAATGAAACTCTTTTTCCTTCTTGTACGAAATATTTATCCCTTTTATTTTGGGGTTTTTGCGCATATATAGCGACCTGCTAATGGGACTCATAAATGTGTGAAAGTCCGGGCAACAGCCACGCCCCGTTTTTATGGGCCATATCTAATGCAGCAGCCCCCGCGCTTATATTTTTTTTTTGCGTTGCTACATAGGCGGAAATGTCGTAAATCATATTCCAGCATTTACATACATTTTATGAGACCGAGAGAGCAGCCCGAGGGCAGCCAAGGCGAGAGCCACTCCCCAACACCGCTGCCCAGTTTCAGTTCCAGTTCTATTTTATTTTTTTTTTTGGTTTTGTGTCGAGCTTAGTTTGCCCCGCGGGCCAAGCTTCTAAGTGTGGATTTTATGTATTTGTTTATGGGAAAATTAGGGAAATGGCTTTTACTCAGTTTCCCTTGGACGCGGCGGCAGAGCTTAGGTGCCAAAGGTTACAATTATGAAGTTTACACACCATTTGCCAGGGCCCTGGACGTAGTCGTGGCCGGAATATATTTCTCGGGGTTGCTGCTGTTGGCTGCTTTCAATTAGGAATATGTTGGCATATACGGCCAATTCATTATCAACACCTTTGTTACAGCAAATTAAGCCGCAAGGTCTAAATTAATAAAATGCAAATTAGCGGCGACGACGACGAGCAAGAGAAAACAAAGCGAAACTAAAAAGCAACCCCAAAAAAATACTATATAACTTTGATCTTATCGCCGGCTGACAACACTCCCCCAGTTTTGGCTATCTTTTATTAGTTGATTAATTCATAATTCAGGCCCAGTGCACCTTTCCTGCCCTTCAGAGGGGAGATTAACTTGTTCCGATGACCATTCCCAGCTGATAAATGATCCCCGACTTGGCCCAGATCAGCTGCCTCTATTAATAAAGTTGTGGAAAATCGAGAGAGAAAAATATATGTATATATATATGCTAGGTGTTGGCCTGCAAGGGGTTGCACCGTGGAAATTGCAATTGCCATGCATCCTTCGGGGCCAGGCTACTGTCCTCGAATGTCCTGCCGGGGCAAGGAATTCACGGCCCTAATATGCGTGAAGAGTTTGTCGCAAAATATTGACAAACTCCGGGTATTCGGCGGAGTCAAACAATTAGCCCGCCTTTTCAGACTGCTGCCTGACTTTTCCTGCCTTTTGTTTTTCTCTCTAAGGAAAATGCCAACCTCAAAACCGCTGACAGCGTGACAAAATCGCAAACCACGTGATATTTTATTTCAACAACCGCACAACAAAGGCCAGAATCCCACTAACCTGAGAGACCACGTAACAGGTAAAAGAAATATATCTAGTTTTGTGTTTTGCCTTTTCGTTTTGCTTTGGTTGTAAATCATCCACAAAAGTAAAGACTTTTTGCCACCAAATGTGTATGTTTGTTGGCAATTCGAGGCGGTTTTTGTGCACTTTTCACGGTTTCGTTCTGATGAGAGCCACGCATGCGCATTTGCATGTGGAGGCAACATTTTCACAGTGCAGCGGAAAAAGGGGGAAAACTTATGGGTTTATTAGGGAAGAGCTGAGGAAGTTGGGTTGGGGAAATGTTAATATTATTTTATGTAAGGTTAAAGCATCTTAAATAAGTTAATACTCTTAAGAAACCTATTACGAAAATAGAAAACAATTAAATACAAGTCTTGAAATATAAGTAAAACCAAAGGAACGATTATAAGGATCCTACACATTTGTTTTAGTACTAACAAATAAATTTATTAATATTTTTGTGTAAGATCTTTCTAAATTATTATCATTTATTAAGCCTAAGACATCTTTTAGTGAGGATAAGACGTTTATAAAGAGTTAATACTTTTATAAAAAATACAAAACAATAAATTACAAGTCTTGGAATACATATAAGTCAAACATTTCTCTGGATAGTTCCCCTCCAAACCCCTTTCCCCATGACAAAATGCCACAAGACATGCCATTCGCTCGACTTCAGTGCCATATTTTTGCAATTTAAAATGTATCACTCACATAAAAAAATTACAAACAAAAACACAGAGTCCCGCATGGCCACACCCACTTGGTGTTGCCGCCCCTATTTTTTCGTGGACATGTTTAGCTAGCAAACGACGTGCTGACATAAATGGATATCGGGCTAGGGAATGGGGATTATAATGCCGCCGCTGCTACTGCTGCTGCTGTATTTTTCAACCTTTTTCTGTTTTTTATTTTTTTTTTTTTGCAATGGTGTTGCATGCGTTCGTCAAACCCGCACAAATGTAAATAAGTGTCGACCGCTCATCGGTATCCTTTTGCTAATTACAGGGCAAAAAAAACACAGAAAACAAAAACAGAAACGTAACAACACGAACGAAACGAAATGGGCCCAAAAAGCCAAAGGACATGCAAATGCGTTGTTAGCGCGACAATCGGCAGCTATTACATTGCAATTTATACTTTGTGTGGATTTCTTGGGGGCCCCCAGGGGGGGAGGTAGCCTCGCAAAGGAGTAAATTTGTTAATGTGTCGTAAATGCGCACAGCGGGCGGGTGAGGAAAGCGAGTGGGTGGCAGGGAAAGAAGCCTTGGCAAGGCAGTTAGATATTCTTCTTTTTGGGGCCCAACTGTTGACGTCCAGCGAAAGGGTTTAGGGCAGCACCAAAGCCAAACAAACAAAAGTTACCAGGGGAAAAACAAGTAAAAACACGGAGGCAAAACAATAAAAAATATGAACGCATTATGATTGTCAATAGTCGACTAGATGGTACCCCACTTTTTCAGGCCTTTATTGTAAGATTTTCGGTCTATTAAATTTGAAAATTCCCTATTTTAATTATTATTTAAATAATACATCTATTTTATACATTATTTCTAATAATTTTGATTAAAAGATAATCCAAAAAAATATATAATTTTTCATTTTCTTATGCCCAAATATATTTTTAACATATTTTTAAGTCTTGATACTTAAAAATCTACTAGTTTCTTCTTATTAAATTTGAGAAAACTAATTTTAAGTTTTTAAAAAACCTTGCAAATATTATTTAATATTTAATTTCTCTACCAAAATTCCATCACTTCCCTGTTCTCTAAAAATAGCCTCAAAAATAAACCAAACAACTGAGAAGGGAGAGAGATATCCCGATCCTAACTACCACCTAGCGACTAATGCGCATTTCGCATGTTATTGAAGAAAGAGAAAAGGGGAAGGTAAAAAGGCAAAAAACTACAAAACACAGAATACAGAAAGCAAAAAGTATACTCTTTCCCTCTACCCCCAAAAATACAACTTTTATGTTTCAGGCTGCCTTCTATTCGCCCCCCCTTTTTACCCGCCCGAGAATCCTATCGAGAATATATCGTCAAGCAATAATTTCTTCAACTTTTGTTGAGTTGCGAATGAAAAGTCGTTTAACCCGGTATTTTTTTTTACCAAGTGTATGTATATGTGCTTGTTTTTAGGGTCTTTTTCGAGCCAAAAACAGCTGACGAAACGAGGTGTTTTTCGTGTTTTTTTTTTGTGTTTCTTTGGCTTTTCTGCTAATCGAAAATCGACGGCAAATTATTTCGATGCCTTGTCAATCAAACAACAAAAAATAAATATATTGCTGGGCATGTAAATGAGGAGAACTAACCGAAAAGTTGTTGATATTTTCCAGTTAAGAGCTAAAGGGGGGCGTTAATGGGGGCGTGGCCGGTAGTCGGCTGTATGGTCGATGGGTGAAAGGCGCATTAAAGTTTTATATTGATTGTTATGCCGTTGGAGGACTATTCGTCGTGGGCTTGATTGGTGGCCGATAGCCGGAGGAAGGCGTCATTATGATTATGACCCGGACTGCCCCGTGCCACTCCCCCAATCGTTGTTGTGTTGTTTTTTTTTTTCACCTGGGGGGCCAGAGGCCTTTGGCAAATTGAATTCCAACGAAAGTTTAATGAAATAAAATGCACAAAGTGCATTGCCCGGGGATTTGGCAAACACAAATGTGATCGATTATCGGAAAATATCTTTCAGTCGATAAGTGAATATCACAAATTGCTTGGATAATAATGGAAAGTTGTGCAAGTCTTTAGCTCCCTTGGAGACTAAGTTGTACTCTTTTTAAAGAATTTTATATGAGTATATAATTAAAGAACTTTAGTTGCTTAATAATATACCTTTTTCTGTAGTTTATAATGTATCTTAATCACAAGTTTGTCTGCTTTACATGTCTCTTATCATTAAAAAGCCTACCACAAAGTGATTCTTTGATACTTAAGTACTATTCATGAAGGCATCAGGGCATGCAAAATATCATTTTCTACATTTTCTACATTTTCTTGTTGTAGTTTTTTTGAAACCCTTAACTCACTTAGTGGTAAGCCCCTGTAATTTATGTATTTATGGTTTTATGACTCTACTCACCTGCCCGATTTGGTAATGATCATTTCAGTGCCCAATTCATGGAACTTATCCCACAGCTCCTTGGTCTCCAGGTGGCACTGAACGGGCGTGAGATCGTCGCAGTTGCACGAGCCCACTATCTTGGGCGTGGGCTGCTGTGGGCGTGGCCAGAGGGGAGAAAAGAAAAAGAGGGTGGAGAGAATAAGGAGGAGATTTTAGTAAAAAACGCTTGAGGAGATGCGCGATTCTCAAAAAGCACAGAAAAAAATGACTTCAATATAATATCAAAATTTAATAAGATTTATTTCATACTTTGTCCTATTTATTTTCTGGTAAATTAAGCTTTTATTTTTAAAGCTATTGATGAAAGGGAATTCCTGTACTTCCTTATATATTTTTTAGAATTTTTTATAACTCCCTTTAAGTACAACTATTTCCCTTAGTGTCTGGTTTATATGGTTACCTGCGCTGGCGATTCCTCTGGCGACAGGCGTTCGTTTTCCTCGGGACTCTGCGACGGCGGGGGCGGTGGCGGCGAGGGCGTGGCAGCGCCTCCAATTGCGGCAGCTGAACGCCCTCGATGTCCGCTTGATTTGTTATTGTTGCTGCTCGAGTTGCTGTTGCTGGAGTTGCTGATGTTGCCATTGTTGCTGCTGCTGCTGTGATGATTGTGATCTTGCCGTTGTTGCTTGTTTGCTGTGGCATGGTGATGTGTCTGCTGCCTTTGTTGCTGCTGCTGCTGCTGCTGTTGTTGTTGCTGTGCAACACGCAACGCCTGACGCGCTTGCTGCTGCGCCTGCATTGCTGCTGCAGCTGCTGCGGCCGCCGCTGCTGTGGCAGTTGCTGCTGATGTTGCCGTCGGCGTTTCCGAGTCACTGCAGTCGACCACATCAACGTCAACATCCACATCATCGTCCGCATCCTGGCCGGAATATCGCTCCACAGATGCGGGACCTGCACGAAGAGAAAAATATGGGAAGATTACATATGAGAAATGTAGGAAATAAATGGAAATGTGTAATATTTATACCCTTGCAGGGTATTATAATTTCAGTCAGAAGTTTGCAACGCAGTGAAGGAGACGTTTCCGACCCTATAAAGTATATATATTCTTGATCAGCATCAACAGCCGAGTCGATCTAGCCATGTCCGTCTGTCCGTCTGTCCGTCTGTCCGTCTGTCCGTTTCTACGCAAACTAGTCCCTCAGTTTTAAAGCTATCTGAATGAAACTTTACATATAGTCTTCTATATACTCTCACTGCTATATATGTCGGAACGGGCCGGATCGGACGACTATATCATATAGCTGCCATACAAATGTTCGATAAATTTTTAGAAAAAAAATTATAACTTGGCTGTTTTTCAACATTTTTGCACAATTTTTTAGATTTGGCCATTATATATTATTTCTGAATTTTGGTAAAAATTTTATGAAAATCGGACTACTATATCTTATAGCTGCCATAGGAACGATAGGGAAAGTAAAAGAAAAAATTATACCTTCGTTGTTTTTCAACGTATTTTCATCTAATTTGAAACATGAGCTTCTGGAATTATTTTAAAATTTTGGTATAAATTTAATGAAAATCGGACTACTATATCTTATAGCTGCCATAGGAACGATAGGGAAAACGATAGAAAAAATTATAACTTCGTTGTTTTTCAACGTATTTTCATCTACTTTGAGACATGAGCATTTAGTATTATTTCAGAATTTTGGTAACGATATTATGAAAATCGGAGAACTATATCATATAGCTGCCATAGAAGTGATCCGTAGATGTAGAGAAAATGTAAAACTGGGAATGTAAACTGTAACTGTCAAACTGTAAACATAATAAGTATAGGTAAAATGTTATGAAACTCCGTTTAGTGTCTGTTTTCGGCATTATAATTTATAATATAAATATGAAAACCAATCTGCAAGGGTATACAAACTTCGGCGTGCCGAAGTTAGCTTCCTTTCTTGTTTTATACAAATTTTGCTTAAACTTTCTTTTCTTTAAACTAGTTTCTTATATTACTTCTTATATTAAAGACTTTTATAATATTCTGAACTTTATTAAATAACTTATAATAGATAAAACAAATGTTTAAAAATTGTAAAACTGTTAAGCTGTTTAATGCTAGCTTATAAAACCCAGGTGTAGTGTTATATCCGCTTAATTAGCATCGAAATTAAGGTAATGAGTGCTGACAACTATTAGTAAATTAATTTAAATGCAAATTGTTAAGATAAACACAACTCATTAAAAGCTTTGATTATAAAAATTATGACTTAGCTTAGAAATATATTAAAAACCAGAGTGTTACCTAAAACAATCTTAGAAAATATTTAAATCAAATACCAAACCATTTGATAAATCTTATTATATTTAATATAACTAAACTTCAGATGTTTTATTTAATATTAATCTTTCGAAAACTGGTTTCCCAATGCTCCTAGTTTCCTATACCTAATCAATCTCTCAGTGTTTATAGATGTGGCCAAGAGAGACATCAAAGTGGGGCCAGTTAATATGTGGGAGTTGCTGCTGGCTGCCCGGCAACATGTTGCATGTTGCCGCTGATGAGTCGTTACGGCCACAGCAACACAGAGAGAACAAACGCGAATTCAGTTCACGACCAGATGCATTTTACAGATAATGCCAAAAAATTCAATTATTTGCACAAAATGCAATTTCGTATGTTAATTTCCCGCGCGTGTGTGTATGTGCCAAATGAATGCATCTGTTTGCGCTGCTGTCTCTACCCAATTATGGCATCTAAATAGTTTTGCATTCACGTATATACACCATATATATATATGTCAGACCCGCTGTCATGTACTGAAATCCCACCCCGCCCTGCCACTCACCGCCGCGTGAATTCAAATAGGCTTTGATTATTTTATTGCCGCGCATTTGCCGCAATTATCAAGTCATCAACGTTGCATTGTCATCAATATATAATTTATATACAGCAGGAAAAATGGCGGAAAAAAATTATACGGAAAATATAGAAATATAATGCAGCTGCGACACTTTTTTCAGCGGCGTAAAATGAGTATGAGTATTAAGCAATCGATTAATTGAGTTTCTGTTTTTCTGGCGTCAGCAGCTAGAAAATATGGTAGCTGGGGCTTTCCTCGGCGAAAACCATATTTATTATTTTACTTGGTGTTGTATTTAACCCAGTTTTGGTATTAGTCATGGCCAAGGATTATAAGATGGGAAAGCAAATTAATTTTTTGTCTTATTTTCACTGCCTGGAATACTTGAAGTTTTGCTTTTCAAGTCATAAATAAGATAAGTTTCCATTTTGGGGTTTTATTTTTTAATAATAAATAGTATAATGTGTCAAGATCATTAAATAATGTAGAATTAATGTTATTTTATAAGGCCTTAGTTAAGTAAATAATTGTTAAGCTAACGTAAAGCAATCAATTTAAGGCTTAGCCTTTATAAATGATCAGTTGTTGAATTAAACAAATTATTTTCAATAATCATTATTAATAAATAAGTATTATTTTAGGCAGGAAACCTTAGAACTAGACAAAATTTTGTCATATTCAATTTATTATTAATAATTAAAAATTAAGAAGGAATTAAAGGAAATACGTTTAGCTATCTCTTTTAGACTAACCTATGTATTAAAATTTTAACTATAAACTTTGTTATTTATATATTATTATATTAACTTTTGAAGCTCTTTTTCAGTTTATTAAAATTATAAGTAAATCTATATATTACCCCTCACTAATATATGCAACTTCCAATGATTTCCTGATTTCCCATACAAAAAATGGAGCAAATATCTATGCCAATTTCCATTTATTTATATGGAGTATCTTCAGTTTTTTGGGCTATTTTAGGGGATGTTGGAAATTACTTTACTCACTCAGACTCCGTTCTGAAGGTTCCCGGCTGCTCGGGGCGTTTCCGCCGCGCGCCATAATCGCGGCAATTGAGAAATCCGTGGCGAAGGAAATGTTGTGCTGATGCTGCGCCTGATGATGATGATTATGATTGTCCAGCGGATGATGATGATGCTGATGCTGGTGGCTCTGATGATGATGATGAGAGCTGCCGCCGTTGGCTATACTAGCAATTTGTTGCTGCAGCTTCGACTTGAAATTCTGCGACGGCGACGAAGGCTGCGTTTGCTGCTGGGGTTTCGCGTTTGCCGGCTGATTGCTCAAAAGCATTTTGCGGCCGATACTTAGTTGTATTTCTTCTCTTTTCCCGATTTTTTGTAGAATTTATTTAGATTTCGGTAGATTAAATTGGTTCCTTGTATTCATAACATTTTTGGGTGTGGAATCAGCTGTTTGAAAGTTGATTTAAAATTTATTATGTGGAGATAATATTATTTCAGGCCTTGTATCTTTGCAGTTTTAGCCCCAAAAACTTGTATTTCAAATTAATATATTTTACATATTTATTATAAATATCTTTAGAATATTTTGGTATAAATTTATTGACAAAAGGGCAAGCTATGGGAACATTTTAATCCATAAACGGAATCTTTTATCAAGCCTTTTCATATCACCTTTTTCAGGCTTAAAATTTAGATATTTAAATGTAAGATTTTAGATATTTTAATCCTTTTGAGAATTACAATGCCATCAAGTTAGATATTTTGTAAACAAACACTTTTACTGGCTTGTAAACAGCCTTAATTTTTGTTTATTTCTAAATTGTATTAAAATATATTAATATCGAAATAAATTGTAAAAAATGTGTGTTTTTTTAAAACGTTTCCAAGTTTACTTAATTTTTAACTTTTGTTAACCTTTTTAAATAATTTTCTGTAATAGACCACATTTGCTTTGCTGTATTCTTTGCTTCGAAACACTTTTACTTAGACGAGTTTTCGAGTTTTAACGTCCGTACTTTATCTTCGTATTTCGCCGTATTTTTCCGTATTTTCTCGCCGGGATTTATGAATAAGGGAAAAAGAGAGATAGAAATGCCGGAGCGCCGTCGCTGCTTCACAGTCACGCAGCTGACCATTGAATGAATCCCAATTCGCTTTTCGCCATGTAAAACGCCAAAAGCGCCAAAGCCAAAGCCAAAACCGAAAAAAAAACACACACACTGAGAAGAAAACAAAAAAGCAAAAACGCAACGCAAAAATCAACAACAAAAGCAACAACTACAGCGAAGCTAACAGCGACGTCAACTGCGACGTTGGCAGAGGCAGCAACGTCAACTGACCCCCAAAACACAGAAACAACAACAGCTGATGTCGATTACGTTATGACGTAGTAAAGGGTTTTCCACACCGTAGCTCACTACGTAGACATTTGCCGTAACAAAAACGTTTCAATTAGCGTAATATATTAATTTTTCCAAACATATTTTCCTTAAAACATACAAAAATATATATCCTACATTACGTCACTCCCTTACGTCACGTAATCCTATCTCACGTTAAACCGCAAAAGGAAGAACAACACCAACAACGAGACATTTTTCAATTATGACAATTTGAGCGATTTGGTCGTGCAAGCGAGATGGTCATACAAACGCTGTCGCATTCCCATGCAGCCGGCAGCGACGCCGACGCCAGCAGCGATGCCGGGGCATATAACTCATTTCCATTTCCCATTCCCCAAATCCCTTTCCATTTTCCAATTCGAACACATTCCCATGCACTCAAACCGGCTAGCTAGCAAGCCAGCCATAAGCACTCCATGAGTGCAAGCGAGATAAAACCAGTGTCGACGGTTGAGTGGAGAGCGGTATTTGAGTGCATTGGCTATCTCGCTCGCACGCGGAAGTGAGAGAGAGCGGGAGCGAAAGAGACGGCGCAGAGAAGTTCATAAATTCGTCATTTTGTTTTTGGCTGTTGACAGTTCTTATATTTTGTTGCTTTTGTTGTTGCCATGGTGAGTGGAGTTTTTTTTTTTTTGTTTTTTTGTTGGTTGCTGGTGGAACAATTTACGGTTCTTTTCAACTGCGTTCCGTTTCCATTTCGTTTCGTTTACTCACCACACTAGAGTTGAGTGGGTTTTGAGAATGAGTGAGATACATTTTTGAGTTATACGAGTGGGTTTATTTTGTGGATTGAAAGTATTCGTTTTGTTTATTTGTATTAAAAATATATAAAATTACCAATATTAAATTATAAAAAATATATATTTTAGGAAAATTAATTTCAAAAATATATATAATGTATTTTTAAACACAATGTTCTTGTTAATGTTAGAATATTAAATTTAGTTTAAAGATATTTTTCGAAGATTTTATGTTAAAATTACTTTATTTTATATACAAATAATTATATTCCTTTAATAATAAATTATATTTAAGCTATATTACAATTCTTATTTTTATTTTAAATTATTAAATTGAAATATTAAATTAATTAAAAAAGATACAAGTTATATAATTTGTATTGCATCTAGTGAAACATGAAAATTAAACTCAAATTAAATAAAAAGGTTAAATTTCTTTTCCTAACTCAATTTATGCATTTAAGTTCTCACAGAAATAAAGAGAAATATATATCTTCAAAAATTTCCTTAAAATTTAAATAATTTTAGTCTTGAAATACATTCAATATTACGATCCCAGGACCGGACTTCCCCTCACATCCTGCGACTGGCAGCGACTTATCTGAGAAAGTGTCTCGTGCGCTCGCAGTCCTCCAATTGAAAAATCATAATTGAATATCTGGGTTCCTGTCACTCCTCCATACACACACATACACACCTCCCTCAGCCCTCCTGTATCTCTCCGCCTTCGTATCGTATGTAAATGTTTTTAATTTAAATGTTTGCCCAAAAGAACCAAACAAAAGATGGACGGAGTAGAGGAAAAAAAAAAATGCGACGATGGCGTGTGAACGCAGCAGAAAATTATATAGAGACCACGGGAAAAAAGAGGGGGCATGCGAGGGTCGGGGTGGTGGTGGAGCCACCATCTTGTTTCCCTCCGTCACAGGCTTTTTTCACAATTCGTCAGCTGCGCCCTGCGTCCTCCCAGGATGATGTCCTTTTGTCCAGGCACTGAGAAAAACTTGTAAGGTATAAGAAATCCTTTTTTAAATTTTATTTGCAAATAAATGTAATGTAATATAAATTTTATTTTACGATATATTACAAAGATTTAATCTTGAATATTATTTTTTTAAACGTTTTAAAATGATTGTAAAAGGAATAATTTTAAATAAGAAAATTTAAATAATTCATGTTAACTTTGTAAACTTGTGACATTTATTTAAAATACATTAACTAATCATCAAAATATGTTTTGAAGATATTAATTAAATGTAAATCGATTTATATTTATAAAAATAAGTTAATAAGTAATTGTACATTCTTTTAAGACCCCATTTCGAGCTCCCAGACAAATTTTTTTATATTTCTAATAAATATTTTTCCCCTTCTGCTAATTAAATTAGATATAAGTGAAGATTTAAAGGGGTTTTTATAAATAAAATAAATTGCACACCCTCAAAATGTATTTCATATTTAAATTAAACCTTTTTTTTCGAGTGTCTGCGTTGTTTTTGTGGCTGCGGTTTCATTTGCATGCGATTCGTGGTTGCCAGCCGATGTGGCGCACAATTGAGCCACTAATGGTGATGTTGATGGTGGCCAGATCGGTGGAGGGAGTTGCTCACAGCTCGCAGAGCTAGGCAGACCCCGGAAAGGAGCGGGATTCCGGGAGGAACTCAGACGGGGCTGGGCCCAGCCCTTGGCCCTTTGCTCGCTTTGTTTGCTTTGTCGCGGCTCGGTGACAATTTTTCAATGATTTGTTTCCTGCCCTGAAATCTCATTTGCATATGCCACCATATTTTTTCAACTTTCCTGTTTTTTTTTCTCTCTGTTTTATTTTGTGGCTCCTGCGCTCCTTGTTTTTCTATATATTTTCCTGGGGGGGAGTGAAAAATTGCAATCGCTTTGTTTTTGGGTTTGGTTTCTGTCGGTTCTTGGGCAATTTGAATTTGATTTAATGAAATTAAGAGGGCGTGTTCTCTAAATAGTCGTTTCTTTAAATAGTTTTTTGTAGAAATTTTGTAGGTAATTAAGTTGATAGAAGTGTGGAGGGGGGTTTTTTTAATGTTTAGAGAATTTTCTATAATCTGTTTGCTTAGAAAAGCTTATATTTTGGTAGTTCATTTACAAATGAAGCTTTAAATAAGAAGGAATGAAGAGATTAAGATTAAGTTTATACTTATATATACTTAATTATTTGCTAAAATAAATAAATTTTAAAATGTAAGGTACAAATGGTATTTCAAATATTTCAAAAAATATTTTTAACATTAATATTTTTGATATATTCTTACCAACTTTAGCTAAAGTACATCAAATTATTAATTAAAAAATTTTGAAAAAATAGCCCTGCTCTTCTTGCTAACAAAAACAGATTCCCCTAAATTGTACCTTGAGCTATTTGCATAATGTACCTGCATGACGCTTTCCTAACCAGAAAATCAAAACAAGACACTTCAAACTTATTTATGAACAACACTGGAAAAATGTACAAACAAAGATCTATGACTAAACCAATTCCGGCAAAGAAATACAAACTCGGAGAAGGGGTAAAAGCCAATCAAGTAAATATCTGCAGGAACAGCTTTCCTATATAACCGAAATTTTTGTTTACGCTTTGACGGGATTACGGCAAAGTCGTCGTCGTGGGTCGTAGGATGAATCCTGTACCGGTGTCCCCGCTGGCCATTAGTTTTTATTTTTGGGCAAATTTCACTATTTTCCTTGCGTTTGCTCCTTTTGCCTACGACTACTACCTACATACGTGCACTAAATGGCCAATAAGCGAGGGGAAAAAATTGCGGAAACTAAGCCACGGAAGCCGTGGAAGCCGTGTCAGGACATGGCCATCTAAATGCATATGGCGGTGGCCATATTGTGCCAAAGGATATATCAATTTTATTGCCGCCCGAAATCGAAACAACATGTGTGTTCCGTTCGAGAGCAGAGATTTTTTTGTCTTCATCCTCTTATTGTTGCATACAAATTGCGTAGCGAATTGTTTTGTTTTTCTGTTTGGGTTTTCTCTGCATCCTTAATCCTTTGAAGAGAAAAATAATAATTGCAAACAATTGTATTTTACGGCCATCCTTGAGCATCCATAGGAGCTGGCGAAGTGCGAGCGGAGCGTGTCACCTGAAGGCGCAGGTGCTGCAGCGATTCGATACAAAAGCCAAGGACACTTGAAATTATCCTTGAGTCAGAGATAAGCAAAAACGATTATGTTGCCTCCCCACTAAGGACTCAGGAATCAAAAATTACATTTGCCAAGGATTGATCAAAGCTTTCCCGAACTTGGAAAATATTTTGGTGATCTGCAACTTATCGAAGAATAATCGCCTTTATGTTTTTATCAATAAATGTTTAATAGAAAGATGTGTATTTTAATAATAAGTATAAAGAAAACAAGAGCTGAATCCAAGTACTGGACATACCGACTCTCGGAGTTCCTCGTGGTCTGGGGCGCTGGGTTTGTGAGACCGGAATTGAGGCCTAAGAAAGCGTTCTCCAAGCAATACTAATTCCTGAGTTTATAAATATTACTTGTATTTATCAAAAAGTCTTATAAAGCACTTATTCTCAGAAACGTATACATTTTTTAAAATATTAAGTATATATATTAAGTGTATATTATTAAGTATATATATTAAGTTTACTTTGTAAAGGCTCTGAGAAGCAAATGGAAATATTTATTATTCATAACTAGAATTAAACCGATTAACACAAAGAACTTACAAATGACTCTTTCCTGGAGCACTTACACCACTTGGATTACATTCCCCTGGAGCTTTCTCTGTGCTTTTTGCAAAATCGTATAAAAGCCGAAACCAAACTCTACAATTGTGCTTGAGCCACTTAGTAAGCATTAGTTTATCGAGAGAATTCCACTTCAGTTTCATCTTGTACTTCACAATGCACGCACTACGACTTCTGGGGCTTGGAATTGTGTTCGGGCTGCTGCTGGTGGGAATCGCTGCCACGCAGGACCT